TTTTCGAAGTAGTGATTAATATCTGCCGCAGGGGAAGAAATATGAAGGTACCTTTTGATTTGTTCAAAACGTTTCAGCGGTATTTGTTTAGAAATATAATGAATGGGGAGCTTCGGGTCCTCATTCCAGTAATTATCAAATGAAGACAACCCAAAAACCCCCTGGTAAATGACAAGAGCAATCCAGGTAAGGAGCTCCTTACGATCCACATTTTTTCATCGTCGTCCAGCAAGGCTAGCGCCTTTGATTAATGCATATGAATTTGTATTGAAGACAATTTTGTCCAGTAAAATTTTTGTAAAAAAAAAAAAAAAAAGGTTGATCGGCTTTAAGAAACCGACTTCATAATTTGGTGTCAAATTAATAAATGCCTGATGTAAATTTTTTGAATGAACTAATGGTTCAAAATCTGAAGGTAGTGGTGGCAATTTAGGTACGTTTTTTGATTGTTTGCGGCCCTTCTTATTACCGTTTTCAACAACTTCGTCTTCTTCTTCATTGTCATCGTCTAACCCCGGATGGTTTAAAAAACATTGTCGGGACGTCAGAACCGGTATGTATTTTTTGTCCTCACTGTCAGAAAATACCTTAGTATCTTCAGGTGGGGGTAAATGCGAAGATGAACTCACCTTTTGCATAGTTGTAAGTTTTTTTTGATTTTTTTTTTGATTTTTTTTTTGCTTTTTAATTGATGGCGATCAAAAGATAATCGTTATACTACTAACATGTAATTGTGATATCATGTACTGCCATCACGTGATATAAAATTACGAATTGATCTGTGAAATGGCAAACTTTGATTTGAGCTTAGGAAAGGGGGTACAATTGTTTAGACAAATCAAGCACAATCGCACAAAATCAAAAAAAAAAAGATTTTAGCAGCCAAATTTGGCCACTGGACGGTTTAAGGGATAATAGTGACCTGATAGTGCCTAGAACTATCATAACACTAGCAGAGAACCAGAAAGGTTCTATTAGTTCGCCAGTTTAAGATCACTTTTTGGTTGCTGAGTTATTGTGTCTAAAGATCTGGCTAAAATTATAGAATAGTGCAGGCCGAAATCATAATTTACTACGCCTACTGCGCCGGCCATGTATTGCTATTCCTAAGCACTTTCGAAGTTACCTCATACTTGAATACATATCTGAAAAAGTGTAGCCTTCTGCCATTTTTATATAATATAATTCTGCAGAAGGCTACACTTTTAGATACATATCTGAATGCCTTTTTTGTCATTGAGACTTTTTAGTAACACCCAACTAGATAAAGGCTTCTGCCAATATTTATATAATATAATTCTGCAGAAGCCTTCATACCATATCGACTATATATCTAGAAAAGTGTAGTCTTCTGCTAATATTTTATATAATGATTTCGCAGAAGCCTACACCTTCAAATGCATATTCAGATGTCGTCCTTTTACGATTTGCTACCCAAGTATAAGTATCCAATATATATTATATATACCCAGGTGCATACTAGCTTACTCTAATGCCATATATACCTAAGTACATATCTAGAAAAAATGAAGCCTTCTTCCATTATTTTATATAATAATTCTGAAGAAGGCTTCATTTTTAGTTGTATATCCATATGCCTTTCTTTTACAATTTGCTATCTAAATTTGCTATTGCTTCTTTTTTATATCTATTAAAAAAAATCGTGTCAGGATATAATTATTACGAACTTATCCTGAATTCCACCTAGCAAGAATGCATTTATTCATGTTTAGATGCTTTCACTATTCCCGAGAACATATCTTGAAAAATGAAAGCTTCTGCCATTTTTATATAATATAATTACGCAGTTACCTTCACTTTTAGTTGTATATTTAGATACTCTCCTTTTACGATTTGTTGGCTAAGTTCGCCATTGCTTCTTTTTTTGTATCTATTAAAAAAAAATAATTAAACATTTCAGAAATATATTGAGAAATATAAAGTTTTACTAACTGACGACATGCATACACCAACTACTTCCGACCAAACTGTTTGCACTGGAACTGGCCTCCTCACCCACTACGACGGCGCTGAAACCATAGTCGGTGTTCCATCACGTAATGATATTGTAGCAGAATTTGATAATAGAACTACTCCTTTGATTCAACAAAGCCTATCTAGCAAACAGCCCATATATTTTATGCCCACTAAAGTTAGTGATGATACTGAATATGTAAATAGGATCTCCACTTATATTTTGCGTATCACCAGTACTTTAATTAATGATCAAAAGGTGGTTGTGAATATTACAGACATCAAACCCTTCTTTGATGTCAAAGTACCTGAAAAGATACCGTTATCTATGTTTAAGACCAAATTAGTAAAGATATTATCCAATATTCTTAATAGTACATCGAAGTTTGGAATTGAGACTATTAGTGCTTTCCCACTTTAAGGATATTATACAAAAAAGAAACTATATATCCGTGTGAGAACATAAAACTACTACGACCATTACAATGTATTAAAAGCAGTCCGTTCTATTGGTATGTATACAGCTTCAGATGATTTAAATTGCCAGTATTATTATCACAAAGTAGCATGTGAAGAAAGATTATCTCTTTCGAGTTGGGTAGTATTAAGTGATTATTTATATAGACACATTCGGGAGGGAACTTATCTCTTCCAAGTATCTGTGAATAATTACAATCCAATAAATGAAGGCGATTATAATAATCCATTATTTTCCTTAGCGCTTTTAGGGATCGCACCCTTATTCTCACGTGGAATATTAAAACATATAGCTTATGAAAAATGAGTAAGGTGCTTAATGCAAAATACGAAGAAGATGTTGTGTTTATGATTTGTATAACAGTTCATTGGAAAGATGATCCCGAATCGTTAAAACAAATCTGTCTTGTTGATGTTGAGACAGCGTCAGACTCACAATGGATTACAATTGTATGTGGATCCAGACCAATTGACTAAAAGCATTTGTATTGTGTTGGAAACTCTTAGCCCCAGATATACAAATAGGTTTTAATGACTTACAATACGACTGTAAATTTATTGTAGAGAAGGCTAATAAATTAGGAGTTCTCGAATGGATGTTCAATCATATGTCATTCAAGCCATCAAGCCTTGAAAAAATTATAAAATGGGAATATCGATATAATATGATAAAAGTAAATTATGGAAAATTCTATTCAAAAAATCTTAAAATTCCTGGCTGTATGACTATTGATATTTGGCCCTGTTTCAAGGGATTCTATTCTAAAGCTGAAAAAAGTAGTCTCACATTTTACTTAAGTAAGTGTGGACTTAATAACAAAGTAGATCTACCCATTCACCACATGAACAAGTACTATGAATAGGCATTAAAAGAAACAAATGCCACAACGGCTAAGCAAATGCGCAAAGTGGCCAAATACTGCATTAATGATGCTCTTAGCTGTCAGCGGTTAATGGTCAAGCACAATGTAATTAATAAATATAGGGAGTTAGTAACTCTAGCCTTCTTATCATTATTTGATGCGCATTATTTTGCTAGAGGTATGAAGGTTTGTAACCTTTTAAGCGCTAGTGCATAGCAAAGAGAGGTTCTATCCAGTACAATCTCAAAAAAGGAAACTAGAACTGAAAAATATCCTGGAGCTTATGTTTTTCCACCAGTAAAAGGTCTCGAAAATAAATGGCCTGTAACTGGCTTAGACTTTGCATCATTGTATCCGAGCCTTATCATGACTTACAATCTCTCATCTGATAAAATAATTTTATTTTGAGGAGATGCTAAACAAAGTGGTAAAAGCTCCATGAAATTAGTTTTAAATTCATTGGTCGGGATATTTTTGTATGGTCTATCCAACATAATAACGTTTCAAAAGAAAAAGGTCTTTATGTTAATATATTGGAATATTTATCTAGCAAACGGAATAAGATAAAGAAACACCTTGCCTCTTTAAAAGAAAAAAAAGAAGACATGGGACTAGTAATAGGTTTGATGGATAAAGGTTTGTCACTACCAGAAGCTATCAATTAGGTTTTAGCAAAAGCGGAGGAGAAAAAATATACTAGCCTTAAAAAAAATCTATACTATTTTATTAATAAAGAAAAACACGAATTTAAGGTAGAATATGACTCTGTTTGTTTTGACTATTCTTGCTTAGATACAAAACAATATGCTTTCAAGGTATATATGAATATATTTTATGGTACGGCTAGGGATAGTAAATCCCCTTTCTTCTTGCGTGAACTTGCTAGAGGTGTCACCTCAGCTGGATAAAGAAATATCAAACTTGTCGCAGAATTCGTTAAAAGTAAGGGATTCGAAATAAAATATGGGGACACCGATTCTTTATATCTCACCTGTCCAGAAGAATGCTTTCAGGAATGTGATGAGGTATATGATAGTGGAAATGGGATCTTGAAAGAAAAATATTGGTCTAAAATGGTAAACATCTCTATGAAAGTCATGGAGAAACTCCACAACAAAGTTAATAACTTTCTTAGAAAAGATAATGGATTGTCTTATCTTAAAATAGCATATAAAAAGGTTTTATTTCTAGTAGCATTTACTGGAAAGAAAAAATACTATGACATTCCACATGAAAGCAAGCCAAACTTTAATAAAAAGCTTTTTATTCGGGGGGTAGAGACTATAAAACGAGGGCATTCTACCCTTTTCCGCAAAATAGGAAAGCATATTATGGATGAATCTATGAAGATAAACAATACACGTACCTTGCAACAGATTGTAGAGAAAGTACTCAAGAAAACTATAAACGATATTTCTCAGATAGACCTTAATAAATTGATTCAAACTAGTGCATGAAAGCCTGATAAAGATAACAAATCTGTTCAATGCTTTATTTCACGAATGCAAGATAGGCATATTCATAAAAAAGCTGAAGCTCAACGACTTATAAAAAAGGGCTTGACGCCAGAACCTTATCTTTACCAAATTCCAGAACTGGGTAAGCGCTTTGAATATATTGTAGTTGAAAATAATTCATCACCGAAGATAGGAGATAAAATGGAGTATCCTGAGGTAGTAAGGTGATTAGATAAAAAGATCGATATTAACTATTATCTGAAAAGTGTTGCTGGTCTCTGTGCATATTTTATAAATTATGATGATAGATTCCAGCCATCATCTGAATCCATAGAAAAATCGAAGAATGGCAAAAATTTGAATGAAGATAATGTATCAAATATGAAAGATGCCTTAGCGCAAAAATTGGCTGAAAAGTGGATTAAAGGATATATCAAAGACCTACATAATAGACCGAAAATAGATAAAGCCATCATATGGAAAGAAGCTCGTACTCACGTGAAAAATTTATTTGATACCAATTATACTAGTAAAGTAGTAAAATGCTTAGGTAATATTAGTTATTATACTTCCTTCCTTAATGCACTAGATAAACTAGAAGAATCCGCCCGCTTAAAGATTTCATTATTGCTCAAAGAAATTTCTAAAATCAATGTACGTTATAAAGAAGAAATGTATAAATTAGTTACTAAGTCCAGTAAGCGTAAATTGAAAGCTATGACCTTAGAAAAATATATATTATCGTATGATCTAGAAAATGAGTGTAAGCTACTAGCAAATTTCTGAAACACATAGTACAAAGTGGTTGATCTAGAAATCACACGTTATTGAACATTATCTAAGTTACAGGATAACAAAAAAGATGATTTGTTCGAAGCGGATATAGATGAAATTATCAGATTATATAGATAAGTACTCTTAGTTGAAATTGCCACACTTCCACTAGAAAACTTACAATATTATTTATATATTTTTTCTCATGCAATAATACTGGCAAACTTCAATTCTTATATTCGATCTTCTGGCCTCTGATATGCATTTCTTTTTTCGAATTTATAAGAAAAAAGGTGTTAGTATTTTTAAATATATACTTTCATAATATAATGGCTGAATTGCGCAACCAACTTTCTCAGTATATAGGCTTTGAACTTAGTGAAATTCGTCTTCCAATTACAGAGGATGATAGACAAGAATTTCGTAAAATAATAGCAGATCAGGAGAAAATGACAGATATTGTAATGGATAAATATCGATTTTTGCTATGCTATGGGCATAATGGTAAGGAAGGTAACTTAATCTATATTGGCTGGTTATTAGCATATACAGTATCCCAAGCTGAAAAGATCTTAATTAATCTACTCAAAGATTTACTAGAAAAGCTATTGGGTTACATCAGGAAAAGATTCAAAGAAGTCCCAGTTGCACCAGTACTTATATGATAGATAATTGGGTGTTAAGTCAATAAATTTCAGGGTTACCTTCCCTATTTATGTATTTCTCATAAGTGAAATCTTGATTATTTTTTCTTCTGGCCTCTGATCATACAGTTGGCCTTGGATATGCTGGGGATGCCAATTGCTATTCTGAATATATCGTTCAGTTTTTTTTCATATATTTCATAGCTGTTTTATAACAATAAACAATATAATTATGATCAATAGAAAAAGTATTAATGAATAGGTAAGTATTGATAACAATGATTTGTCTGCAACGATAGGGATACCTGATAGCTTTGCCAGGTCTCTTTAAGACCCCATCCCTTCTGCGCCATCTAATGAAATCTTATTTGTCAAAGTAGCAGGTAAGTCTTCAAATTCATGCTATTATTTTTCTGTTCTTGTATAGAACTATCTAGTCCTTCTGGGGTCATGTTAGGAATAATTGTACTGGAAGTATTAACTCCTTCTGGCTTATCAATTTTTTCACTATCAGCTACAAGCAAATCTGATTGATTGTTGTCAGAGTATCTTGGGGCCAATAAATTAATCACAGACTAAAGTGATTTCACTTCTTCTGATTTTGCAAAATTATCGGCCTTAGATTTGGCAAGAGATATTTTTGCACAAGCACTCTGAGATATTAGTTTGGAGTTTTTAACCTTCAATCGCCTATTCTCATCATTGAGTTTTATATATTCACTTCGCAACTTAGCATTATAACCTCGTATCTTGGATGAGTCTTGCAGAATGCGATGTATTTCTTTTTCAAGATCATATATTCCCATTTATTTATATTGGCCATAAACATGTAAAAAAAACTTTTCATATTTTTTGTTAGAGAACAATTGCAATAATTAAAGAATGAATACAAAGGATATCGATCATTTTTTATCATTAATTATAGATAGTAGATTGGAATATATTTTATTAATCTAAAACAATAAATTATATTTTTTAATGTTCTTTTTTACCTTATAATGATAAATATTTATTTCTAATATATTTTATCTATCAAAAATGATAAATATCGATTTCTAATATTTTTTATCTATCTAAGAATAAAAAATTTAGAGGAATTATGACTATATCATTTTTAAAAACCCATTATCGACGAAGTGTCACAGTTTTGACTTCTGAGCAAATTGGAGAAATTAGACGTCTCAAAAATCAAGTTCCTGCATATATAATAGTAAAGGAATATCATATCAATAAAGATCGCATTTATGATATATAGAATGATTGCGAGCACTTATAGCAAAATGGAAACCACCCCTTTGAGAAGCTTAGGAAAGCTCATTCCATCTCTTCTGAGTATAATTCAAAAGTTCATACTAAACTGACTTGTGAAGTGCCTGATGAGTCAATTCTAAAAGAATCTGAGGTCATGGAGGTCCCTCTAGAACCATCACCCGCCCCTTTATTCTCGACTTTGTCAAGGATGAATAAGCAAGAAAAGCAAAAAAAGAAAAAAAAACTGTTAAAGTCCAGATCCATTCGAAATTCTGACTTACCTGAAATTTTGGCAGTGGGTCTCTGCCAAAACTCCTTACTAGATGTCTCACACGATTTAATTGCTTCAATTAAAAAAGATCATATAGAATCAGAAGAATCTATGCGTGAATCAGAAAAGCTTTTTGCTCTTAACTCACCTTTTCAACATATTCAGTAAAAGTACTTCTCTAAGCTTTAATACCTAGTTAACAAGAAAAAAGAGCACAGAAATTTTTATTAATCTCAATTAATTTAGCTTTGGAAATGAGAGTATCATACAACATTTTTTCAAGCTCCTCATAGCTCACGCATTTTTTTTAAATATATCATCATACTCACTTAACTCCTGTGAGTTTTGTAATATGTTATACTGAGTCAAGAAATCGTCACAATCAGGAGTAATGTTTGCGCAATTCACCTCAAGCTTGTTCTTGACCTTGTGCATATTAACTGGAATAAAAAATTCCTTACCATTATACTCTAGTCTCAATTCTTGCTTTGAAGCAATTAAATTATAGTTATATTTATCAAGCAATGTATTAGATAAAATGAGCATCAGTTTAGAATACTTCACTACTGCAAAATTGGCATATATAGTACATCTGGGAGCGAAATTCATAGGGACATTTCTAACAATTCCAAGAGATTTTGTGGGAGTAGTAGCAATACCTCTAAGGTCATGTTTTTCTTTTGTGTCAATTTCTAGCTTCAATCATTTGGCTATGTCCTCAGACATAATTGCAAAGTTAGCACCAGGATTAACTGTAGCCTCAGGAATTACCAAGCGCTTGATTTTACATTTAGTAGTGACAACATCTGTGGCAGATTCTTTTCTCTGAACAAAATCTATCTCTATAGGATCATCGATAAACTCATCATCTTCAGAATCGGCTGGTGTTTTAGAATTTTCAGCTTTTGGTTGAAAAAGGGAAGTTGTAATAGTGCCAAACTTTTCATTAAGCACCTCCTCAATAATTTTTTTAATAATTTTTTCTAAGCAGGCTTGTTCATCCTGTGACAGGGACTTTAAATTTTGCTTTTCCTTCTTGGAAATAGAAACTGATGTTAAAGGAGGTGCTTCTGCATCTTTTACCTTACGAGACTTGTGAGTCTTTGATTTCTTCTTCTGTAAAGAAGTACTAGTGCTATGCTTTTTCTTCACTTTTTTTTTGCTTGAGATATATTGACATTAATTTTAGCTTCAGACTCTGATTCAGATGAAGAACTCTCAGAGCTAGAATTGAAATTAGATTCAGATTTATTAGTAGAAGTATCTGAATCAGAATCTACACAAGCATTATTAATTTTGCCTTTCTTTTTATATTTCTTTTTATTTTTCTTTCGAGAACAGCTACGAGAATTATGTCCTATTCTACCGCAATTTGAATAATATCGATAAGATTTTTTAACAGTTTTAGCAACAGTATTAACGCTTTTAGCCATTTTTACTATATTCAAAGACATATCTGTCATACCTTTGATAATTTCATCAATATCATTGGTATTTGAGGTAATATTCTTTTTTATCTGTGGTTTTGGAGATAAAGAAGAGGCCTGCATGGGGCCAAATTCTAGAGTTTCACCATAAAGCCATAGTAAGAGCCTATTAGTATTTTCTTCAAGAATTTTTTGGGATGTTCCTGTAGGTTGTGGACGAAATTGTAAAGAAACAGATTGTGAGGTAGGCTGTTAGCTCCTTAAATCTAATTGTGAGTTTACTATGTTTTTTCTACTTCAGTTTTTGTTATACTACTATTGTCCAAATGTGGTTGAGTATTTGATTTTGTTAATATAGTTGTTGATTGTGATGTAATAGGTGGGGCTTAAGAGATTTGGTTAGGAATGGAGCCTTTATACAAATTCAGAGAACATTCTAACCACATATTTTTAAGTTCTGTAAAAAATGCATTAATGCTAGCAGGGTTAGCGATTTTCATTCAAGTATAAAGCTCTCCCGATAAATGCTTCTTAAGAAGTCCTAAAATATTAGCATCACCATCAGCAACCCCTAATAAAAAAGAACAGATTCTAGCCTTATATGTTTCTGGATTATCAAATGGTAAGAATTTTTCTTATGCTAATCTTTGAGTAGCAACTTGTTGTATACCAACTGTTTCTGTTTGATATTTATGACGCAACCAAACAATGAAACAGGCTGGAGTATCAATATTATTACCAGTATGTTGAGCGGATATATTTATATATTTTCTAGTCATCTTACTTTTTAAAATATCTGCTCGAAGTGGATTATTAAAGGCAGCCACTATAATCGATGATAAAGTTAATATTTGATTAATT